ATCTATCTATCTATCTATCTATCTATCTATCTATCTATCTATCTATCTATCTATCTATCTATCTATCTATCTATCTATCTATCTATCTATCTTATATTGACATTGTGATAAATCTATCAAAATCAAGATTTTTCCTGTCTTTCCCAAGTTTTTCTGACAGGACAACAGACTCCAACACAGCTTCTCTCTCCAGTGATGTCAGAGAAAACATTCAGATAATAACTTCTACATAAAACATGGTTGAGAATGGSCTGCTCCACACCTAAAGGCCTCAGAGACGTGAGCGTCAAACTGTGAGGAAGAGTGTTCTTTTTTTTAAAGATGGCATCATCATCATCATTGTCCTAATTAAAGGGCAAATYTGTTGTGTTCCTGCAGGGACCAATCCCATGTCAGGCCGATGCACGCTTCTGTCAAACTCAACGAGGTSATCGTCAGTAAATCCCATGATGCTCAGTGAATACTGATTAACATGCTGGACCTTTGGAGAACTCTGAAGGAGAGGAGAACCTCGTCTCATCTCTCCTTTTTTACRGTCATGAAAACAGTTTCTTTTCACTGTCTGTCTGATAAAAAAAAACACCAACACAGCTCCTTGATGTTGTTAATCGCTCTGTTTAGCATTTAGCTAGTTGCTTTTAGGTTTTAGTTACCATTCTGCTACTGTTAGTCTTTAGCCATGGTTTTGCTCATTTTAGCTTTTAGTGATTATTTTTGTTTTCATTGTTACTTATTTATTTATTTGTTTATTTATTTATTTATTTAATTATTTTGCTTTTAGCTATTGTTAAGCTAGTTTTAATATTTGTTGTACTTGTTTTAGCTGTTCAGTTTTAGCTTCTTCAGCAGTCAGTGAAATTCTGACAGGAATCATTCCTGTCAGAATTTCACTGTTTTTGCATAGAAACAAGCATTGTCTCTATTTTAATAAACTAATTCCTCCTTTTTCTGGACAAAAATATCAGCTTAGTGGATCTGATTCAGAGCAGTCTAACAATATATGAGTTAGGAAATAAACAAATCTGTTTAAGAAATGGAGAGCTGCTTTAGRGACAGACTGCTGCATCTGAGGTGCTTAAAGGAGCATTATCGAAGGACCTTCTTCCCCATTAGTGACCTGATCTAATAGGCTTCTCTGACTGCACCACTGCACATTTTCCAGCTGCTCTTTCTTCCGTCCTGCAATGGCGCATTTGCTGTTTAATTTAGTTTTTGTTCTTTGCAGGGAGCCCATGTGTGTATTGCACATTAAGTTGAAGGAAATGTATTAATTTCTATTGAGTCTTAAATGCATTTCACATATTTACGCTTGAGACAGTTACAAGTATTTCTATAACCAAGGTGCAATCAGTTTATTTTCATGCTGTGATTCAGATTGMTGTGAGAACAACCAATTCCTGAGGGATTATCTAATTACACACCTTGCTTTGATGCAACACAATCAGACACGTACATCAGGACTTCCTTGTTAAAAAACRARGRCAACCAGTAAGTGAGGTCATGTTCCCTCCCTGGACTGTCGTTTTCAGGAATCGTGATTCAGTTCTGAACACTATTAAAAGTTACTGATGAAAAGAAAAGAATTGGGCTGGAGAGAGGGTCTTTGTTTTTGCTTGATTCAGGGTCACAGACAGTAGCTGAGAGACTCTGATTGATACAAAGYAGTTACAGATCTGAAGAATAAAGATTTTTAAATAGAATTCACTTAGTTTCRTGTGTAATTATTCTGACTACCAACTTTTGATCACATACTTTTGTATTTATGCTTCTTGTTTTTGTTCTGTTTTCTCTTTAAATTTACATTTTGTGATGTTCAACTTCATGCTTTTGTTTTTAGTTTTTCTATTCTTACACTATGTAACTTCTGCTGATACATCTGTATTTCCTCAGTGAGAGGAACAATAAAGGTTATTCTGACAATGTCTTTAAAGGGACATATTGTGAAAAATACACATTTTTAGTCGTTAAATACATTTTGTTGTGTAATTGGTGTCTCTGCAGAAATGTTTAATTAGTCTCTCCTGGTGCTGCGTAAATATCTTTATATTTTGTTTTGGTCATATTTTTCAATCTGTTCAGTTTTGTCTTGTTGACATCTTTTTATTCATTTGTAAATAAAATGTTTCTGCACAGTTATATATTTGTAAACCCCTCTATCAAACTAGAATGAACCTGTCTAGAAGCTGGAGGGGGGGCAGGGTGTAAAAGCTCCCTGTTTGGCTTTAAAGAGACAGCCTCAAAACGAGTTGATCTGAGACACACCTCAGAAAAGGGGCGGGGCTTGTGGAGTTATAATATGGAGGAATTCAAACCAAAGCATTGCAGTTTCACTTGATATAGACCCCAACAGAAGGATTTAAATGTGGAAAATAAAGATTTAAAAGCATCATACGTCGACTTTAAATAGAAACAACAAACAGACTGTTGGCTTCAATGAGGTGACAAAACTGTAAAAAAAAATTCCAATGCAAAACATWCAGTATAAAAGAACATAAAAATGCATAGTAAGTGATTATAAACAGACTGGATGTATGCACTGTGGTGTGGAAGTTATCTGTGCCACCTCACAGGTATGAGTCACAAGACTAAAACATAATGTCTTTAACTCAATCAGTTTTACAAATGTTTAGAAAAAAATAACCCACAAAAGTTTATTTAACTTTACAATAAGAAGTGTTTGTTGGGGAGAAAATCGACCAAATTACAAAAATGCATTAAATACTATTCCATTTTTTTCCGCACAATGAACAAGCCCATACTTTAGAGCTGTCTCTGCCTGGAATATAAATATATTTAATGACTTTTCTTTTGACAACTATTTTGTCAGACAAGATGAGATAGAACTCAACAGCAACGCTCAGCTGGAAAACACCAGGATGAGCTGAAGGCCATCTCTGATTTTTACAGAGGCTTCAAAGTGTAAAATGCAAAGCATCACACAGTGAGCCAATAAAAATATATAAATATATAGAGAAAAGCAAAATAATAAAACCTTACTAAAGAAATGCAATATCTTATATGATGTATATGAGATTAAAAAAACCTAAAATTTACATAGATTTCAATAGGGTCCATTTTGCCCCTGATGAACAGTAAAGTAAAGTAAAGTAAAGTAAAGTAAAGTAAAGTTACTGTCAGGATAAGGCAGCACCAATCAACATAAATAAATAAAAACAGATAAATCTATGGCTGATTTTTCCTCTGAGACCTTTTCAGGGTTAATATGGTAGTAGCTGAGCAACACATTACTTTGAGTGAAACACATTAAGCAACACCTTTAGGTAAAAAAAATTGGCAATAATAGTTTGATTTAAAACGATTAGCAAAATATTTCACAAACCAGTGGATGGGTTTGAATGAACTCTCAGAAAGTTCTTCCTGTACGCAGATCTCAAACTGATTAAAATMTGGCGTTGATCCAATGTAAGACAGTAACTGCAGCTAATCAGCWGTGAATTTGACACTAAAAGGTTTGACAGTAGCTAAGAGTCATTCTGAAACAAASAGTGAGATATCAAAATATTACACAAAATCATCTAAAATGTTATGTCCAAGGTCTGACCGAAAAACATCAAAAGATAATCCTAAAATAAAACTSTGAATAAAAGGCTGATGTGCATTCCTTTACACAATGTTGAGTTTTTCATTAGTTTAGAGCTACACAGTTACAAATTAAGTGATTTTCAGACTAACTGGAAGTGCAACCTGAACATTTAGAGGTGCTTTTTTTTGTCAATAAAATGTTGTTCAGTTTATCTCTGTTCCACGCTCTGGATCCAGGACTGGAGTCTTCTCTAGGAGGTAGTTCCTGTCTGGCCTCTCCACGTAACGCTGTAAGATGCTGTAGCACTGTTCGCTCCTGGAAAACGAGTAGTAGGCAGAGATCTCCTCCCAGGCCCTGTGGTTGGGGAACGGCATGGGGACAGGCTCTTTGTTCTCAAAGAAACTTTCCAGGTTCCTCTTCGCCAGTTTGGTTGCATATTCTTCTGCAAAGGCATCAAAGCACTCCTTCTCCTTTTCCATGTAGCGCTTCCAGAACGTGAGCTGGAGGTAGCTGACTTTGGAGCGACAGTTCTTGTAGCAGGTTCCCAGAAGGCCCACAGCGGCGGCAACGATGATAATACTCCAGCCCAGGATCTGCAGACACGTCAGATTAAACACACTTTCTTATCAGCTGAAGAACTTCTTGTAAACAATTCAAATGATGACATCACACTTCACCCCAAATAAAAAGACTAGTGTACTGAACCTGTTTGAGCAAATAAAAAATTAAGATAAGTATAGAAAGGCAAGTGAATTACTGAATGACCACTGAAATCTGCTGAAGAAGCTGAAACTGCGTTGTTAAAATGAACAGAAGCAGAATATTAGCAACATGCTAAAAAGAGCAAATTAGTCATTAAAAGCTGGAAGGAGCAAAACAAAAGTTAAAAGCTAAGAATAGCTAAAGTGTAGCTGCCCATTCATTTTCTTCACCCACTTCTTCATGCAGGGACATAAAGGGACCTGGTCTGCAGTCCATCTGAGGGACACCTGGACAGGTCTCAGTCCATCTCAGGGACACCTGGATATGTCTCAGTCCATCTGAGGGACACCTGGATAGGTCTCAGTCCATCTCAGGGACACCTGGACAGGTCTCAGTCCATCTCAGGGACACCTGGACAGGTCTCAGTCCATCTCAGGGACACCTGGACAGGTCTCAGTCCATCTGAGGGACACCTGGACAGGTCTCAGTCCATCACAGGGACACAC